TTTAATAAAGAAAATGTAATTCTAAGTAGAAATTTTTTAGAGATAAATGTCTACATTGTCACAAAAGATCTCAAAGAACCTAACATGGTGCCTCAGGAAACGAGAAGTAGTTATTTTTTGGAAGAGCCACACTCAAGGGGCCAAAGAGCGCCATGTGGCTCGGGAGCCACAGTTTGCCAACCACTGGAGAGGAACAAAAGCAGTCTTGGGCAAGAAGAGAGCTCGTGCCATCACACTTCCTGACTTCAATTCATTACAAAGAGAAAGCAAGCAAACTGTGTTGCTGGAGAAACACACATAATTCAACAGAACAGAACAGAAAACACAAAAAAACCCAGGCACATACTTTAAATAATCTTTGACAAAGCTGCAAGTCACAGACAAAGGGAAAGATAGTCTGCAATGAATGGTGGTGGTATAAATGGACATTCACATGTAAAACAACAAAACTGAACAGCACTGATAAAATGTAACTCAACCTGCAGGACAGAATTAAATGTCAGCGCTAAAACTTAAAACAACTGAAGACAACCTAGAGAAAAAGTTTTGGAGGTTTGTTTTAGACAATTTTCTGAATGTGACACCAACCACCACACAAGATAGAAAAAATAAACAGTCCACACTGCAACAAATAAAGGAAAATAGCATCTTCACTGCACAACAGCAATAAACAAAACGCAATGAAAAGCAATCTAGAGAATAGAAGAAAATACATGCAAACCATATGAAGGAAACTCTTGGAGATATTGTGGATTCGGCTATGATCAGCACAATAAAGCGAATATTGCGATACAGACAGAAATTCACACAAATAGTGGGAGTTCCTTGGGAATAATGAAGGCATGTTAATACTATACTGCAGGCTAATAACAATGCAGTGACTCTGTCTTAAAAGCAAAGTCAATATAACTTCACTAACAATATTTAATTGCTAAGCACTAGTAACAAGCACCTGAGCTTGCTAGACACATGGTGGCACTAGATCTGCTGAATGCAGGGTTGCCAAAACCATGGACTTTGTAGAAAAGCTGGTGTGGGGGAGGAATATCTGCAAAGCACAATTAAGCACTGCAAAAATATGTGTTCCTGTATGTCGTAGGCAATTAATATATAAAATATACAAGGTATTCAAAAGACCTTAATAAAAAATACAGTTAATAAACAGGATAAGGCCAAAACCGGTTTGGCTCAGTGGATAGAGCGTTGGCCTGCGGACTGAAGGGTCCCGGGTTCGGTTCCGGTCAAGGGCATATACCTGGGTTGCGGGTGCAGGAGGCAGCTGAGCGATGTTTCTCTCTCATCGATGTTTCTAACTCTCTATCTCTCTCCCTTCCTCTCTGTAAAAAATCAATAAAATATATTTTAAAAAAATATAAATAAACAGGATAAGGATGTAGAGACAACTTTTCAAAAATATATACACATTACCAACAGGAATATAGAAAATGCTTTCTTCACTAATCAAGGTGGAATTGCTTAGCTGCCAACAACACTACCAACCACAAGTCCTTCACTGTGAATTTAGTGGAGCGGGGAGTATTGGGACTTCAGGAATAGAAGGGAGCAGCAGAAACAGACCAACCGTCCCCAGGACAGCAACTACCCTGAAAACTGGAAAAATCAAGCAGTACCGCAGTCTACATGGGAGGACAGAGCACACCCTGGGGGATGGGCCCTGGGAAATAGAAAAGCCAAGTCCAGGTCACAGATGACAGTGAGGGTCTTACCCAGGGAGGATAGAAGTTCAAAGTTCTCCAGCATCACATCCAGGTACAGCTGTCTCTGACCCTCATCAAGGAGGCTCCATTCCTCCCTGGAGAAGTACAGGGCAATGTCCTCAAAGGTCACGCCAACCTGTCAGAATGGAGACAATTGAACCCAGAGCTGTCTCTTTGAGAATCTCCACTCCTACTCCTTACACACCCCAGGGCACCCAGTTTAGTGTGGACACCAGGCCCTAATGCCAGTGCAGGCTGCTCTCTCATCACTCCTCCAGATGTGCACACCACTAGGTAATGTTCATTCCCTTCCCATGTTCAGACCCCAGGTTCACTCCCTCAGCTCTGCCCCCTTCCTGTTCCAATGCCACTGGATCTCGCTGGACTCACCCATGAACTTGGCATATGGCGTGTAGAGAGCTTGTAGTCCAGCCGGATCCAGGACCACCCCAGGCCCCTGATGGACCCACAGCCGGGAAAGCCCCGAATGGGTCTGTGCCGTCCTCCCTGCAGCCTCTGCTCTTTCCGTCAATACTCACAGCCACATCCTCAGGGACCTTCAGATGCGAGTCACCCCCGTCCTCTCTGCCCTGCACTTGCTGTGTCATCAGCAGCCACCACACTCCTCTCACCTCCACGCGGGACTGAGCTGCAGGACGTGACAATGGCCCACACCCGGGTTTGTCCACTTCAGCGTAAGGAGGCGGTGGGGGCCCCGGGAGAAAGGAACTCACCTCAGCGAAGCTCCTGGGCGGGGGCGCCGCCATTGCCCTCTGTGGGCTGAGCCGGGCGGGAGTAGAAGCCGCTGCAGGAATGGCGGTCCCTGTCCCGGCCCTGGCGTGGGTCCGTGTGACGACTCGGAGCTTCAATCCCAATTGTGAGCTGTGAGCACCATTTGAGGCTCCGACCATTGGCCGTGAGGCGGGGAGCACCACTCCCCAGCCCACTCCCCGGGACTGTGCGACCAGGAAAACGTGACCACATGAAACAAAGATTTGAAAAGGCAAAATCCCGCCACTAGGACTTCCGTTTCCGCCCTACAGAAGCGGCAAACGGAAATGCCTTTTCTGAGTCTCCATTGGCTCAGCCTGGTGGTATTCCCTGCCATGCCTTCTGGGTATTGTAGTTCCTAAGCTCCAAGGCCAGGGTTCTGCATCTCTCAATTGGAGTCCAGGACTGGATTGAGGGGCAAATAGCCCAAGACCACACCAACTACACTAAGGGTCCTCTAGCCCCTTCAGTGCAGGTAATGCCTGGGGCAAGTTTGTTTCTCCTGTATCTGCATGAATGGTTTTCAATATCTTTCTTCAGGACCTGCTCATTCTGAATGATAGGCACTGTTTCTTCATTCAGGACATTTGGCATGTGTCTCCTTCAGGCCAACTGTAGCTTGCAGAGGTTGCTCAAGTCTCTACCTGCCTCTAACCTGCGTCCTTTGAATCCATTATACAAAGTTAATGTCTCAAAACAGACACTCATACTTGATATTTGTCTAATGTATCCATTTATAGGTCAGCCCTATCTCCAGATTCCTGAAGCCTTGCTGCTGCGAAAAGAGTGCCTCCTGGATAGCAAAGTTGTGGAACTTTTATACCATGGCATACCATGCTGCACTAGAAATGAAGACTCTCTTACCCTTTCACAGAGCATGTGGGGACCTGGAGAGCATTCTGCTCAGTGAAATAACTCCGTCAGAGAAAGACAAGCATCACTTCATGTCTCTCACATGTGGAATCTAACTAATTGGGGGAAAAAACAACAGATGGAGTGGATTGAGAGACATGGAACCAATGCACTGACTGCAGAATCTCAGAGTCAAGTTGGAGGGACAGTAAAAAAAGAAAAATGAAAAAACATCCTCTGGTGAGGATTAAGTGCAGGCCTGCACATGCACACACACAAAATAAAAACATTCACCTGAGCCTTAAGTATTCTCTTCTGTTGTCTGAAAGCAAGGGGGAAACTCTAGCTTGCTGGCTTCTGGATCTGCTCTAAATTTGTGGTTAAAAATCTGTCTTCCATCAGTGGAGTCCCTGGAAATGCTGATACTCCTCCATGGAACGTTCTCCTGCTTCACGAGTCAATTGCTTTTGGTGTTGTTCTAAGAAATGTCCAAAACTGTGGAGAATTTTTCTAAGTTTACTTGACCCAAGCCTGCCACGTTGCTAGGAAGCAAAATAAGAACAGATTGAGAACTGCTTCGGAGAATGGCAGTTTTGCACCTTTTTGGTAAGTTAGAGTCAAAGGAAAAGACATATTGGGGTTTCATGAAATTTATGGATGATAAATTAGGGTTATAGGGCGGGCCTGAGGAAGGAAATCTCGCAGATTTGATAAAAACTTTAAAAACTAGACATAGCCCTAGTCAGTTTAGCTCAGTGGATAGAGTGTCAGCCTGTGAACTCAAGGGTACCAGGTTCGATTTTGGTCAAGGGAATGTACCTGGGTTGCAAGCACATCCCCAGTAGGGAGTGCGCAGGTGGCAGCTGATGGATGTTTCTCTCATCGATGTTTCTAATTCTCTATCCCTCTCCCTTTCTCTCTGTAAAAAAATGAATAAAACATATATTTTTTTAAAAAATAGACATATGCCAAAACCGGTTTGGCTCAGTGGATAGAGCGTCGGCCTGCAGACTGAAAGGTCCCAGGGTGGATTCCGGTCGGGGGCATGTGCCTGGGTTGCGGGCACATCCCCAGTAGGAGATGTGCAGGAGGCAGCTGGTCGATGTTTCTCTCTCATTGATGTTTCTGACTCTCTATCTCTCTCCCTTCTTCTCTGTAAAAAATCAATAAAATATATTTTTAAAAAAAGACATAAACTTTTTAAAAAGTTTATTGAACAGTTAACAGTTAATATTTAACACAATAATAATTGGGGCCTTTGGTCTTCTGTGCTGGGAAATTGTGCCTTTAGGAGTCTCTAAAACAAAAATTTCCCTGAAAATCCAAAGGTATGTTATCCCAGATGCAGAAAGACAATAGACAGGCTCAATAAAGTAAAAATTGACCTTTCCAAAAAACCAAAACAAGGCTAGGATATATGTAGTCCTGTGACTTGCTTTTACTTAGAAAGTTTTAACTTCAAACCATATATGATTACTTTTGGCCTCTGAATTTGTAAGATTCATCATGACATGCAAGACTACCTGAACTTGCTAGGGAGTTAGAACCTGTCAGTTGAAGAGAAAATTTAATGATTGAAGGTTTGTATGCATGCATATTAGCGTAACTAATGGACACAGACACTGGGGCAGTGGGGGCTTGCCTGGGGTGGGAATGGCTGTTGGGGGAGGGAGAGTCCAAAACAGGAGAAAAGAGAAATATGTAAAACTTTAGACAATAAATAATTTAAAAATATGAAAATAAAGTCAAGAAAATTCAAAGAGGGTTTTATTTACTCCCGGACCCATTGCTGATGCCCCCAGTATTGCTGGTGTACCTTTATTTGGTCTCCAAGAAGCAGTCACTCTTCAAGTCAATAAAGCCTTAAGTTCTAAATGTGCTGGAGATATTTGTAAATACAAAAAAAATGTATTTATTTTTCTTGGCTGTGGCCTTCCACAATATATGAGATGCACCTATTAATTAAATCCCAATATTGTTGGCTCCTCTACTTCAAACAGCTCATTTGTTCAAACTGCTGAACAAGATCAGTTACTTTCTTGCTAACCCTCCTCCCTGCTGTTGTCAATCCTCAAGGATATTTGGCACAGAAGTGTCTCTACTTAGTAGAAAGTTTCTTTCCATACCACCCTCCCCGCACTTCACACAACTGTGTTTTGAACTCTTCATAACTTTTTCTCTAGTCATATTTTATAGGCTTGGGGAAAATACTGATAAAACACCTCCCTATACATTTGCCAGATTATCTCCTGAAAAGCAAACAAACTGGAATTTTTATTTTTTTAAAATATATTTTATTGATTTTTTACAGAGAGGAAGGGAGAGAGAAAGTTAGAAACATCGATGAGAGAGAAACATCCATCAGCCCCCTCCTGCACATCTCCTATTGGGGATGTGCCCGCAACCCAGGTACATGCCCTTGACCAGAATCGAACCAGGACACTTCAGTCCACAGGCCGACGCTCTACCCACTGAGCCAAACCGGTTTCAGCACAAACTGGAACTTTTAAGGACAGCCTCTCACATCTACTCAACTTCAGTGCTGTCCAATGCGCCTCCTTCCTTCTCCCTAAGCAACAGCCACCGCTGAAAAGAAGACGCCCCTTTATCGCTGCCCGGTAGTGACTAGCAATACTTGGCCCTTTCTTCTCTTGTAAAGTAAAATAAAGTTCCTCTCTGCATGTTTCCTTTTATCTGTGAATTCTTCCACATCCCACATCACCAGAAAAATCCTAACAGTATTACTTTATTCAAAGGAGTTAAGTGGAAAAATATGAGGAAAATGACTTGTAGAAGCAAAATAATATTTCCTCCTTCTTTTCTAGGTTCTTTGTTTGGCCCAATAATTAAATTGATGTACTGTAGATTAACAGAGGAATAACAATCAAAAAGTTCTTAACATAACCTAGATATACATGGAAATGACTCAGAAAAATGGAATAACCTGCCAAAATGGCAAACACCTTCACCTAAAATCACCCTCCCCTACAGTCAAAAATGTTGTGTGTGTGGAGTCAGTTAGGGTGGATTTTCAGGAAAAGCACAGTAAGGATCTCAGTTGTGGTCCATTGTGCAGTGCACTGCGGTGAGGGATTGTACTCAAAAGGACTCTGCTCCAACCCAAAGATCCAGGTGAAGACACAGGAGACTGGGAAGGAGGACGTGGATCCAGAACGTGATCCGGGCTGCAGGGAAAACATGATGAGAGCCATTCTCATTCAGCCGGTAGGGATATAGAGGACAGAAGCACATGGCCAGTTGGTCCTATGCATGAATAAGAAGTGAGCATCCGTCCAATGAGACCAAGAACATGTAGAGCTCCAGCATCATTTCTGAATGTTATGTCCCAAAATTCATGTCCAATTGTATCCACTCCTGCAGGGTGAATGTCTGTGCCACATAGGAACATCATTTAAAGGGTCAAGCTGAGACATCAAATTCATCAGTGGAAAGGGTCACAGCATGACACCCAACTTGTGGACAAAGGTGCAGAGACCCAGCCCTAACTACCGAGGTCTCCTGAGGGTCTTAGTCTGTGCTGGGATCAGAGGGGAGGCAGACAAACAGTAGCTCACTCTCAAAGAAGGTTCTCCTGCAGAAACCACTGCAGCTGAGAAATGATGGCGTTCCCCTGAACACAGGGAGGCCAAGGGTAAGTGCTCTGAGATGTAAAGGGAATGGAAGGAAAAGCATAACTGTAACCATGGAAACAGGAGCTGCAGCTGAGCCACCCTGGTCCTCAGACTGTACCTCCTCCAGTGAGGGCTCCACATCAGTGGTAGAGACTCTGTCTGACGCTGGAGAAAATAATGGTTAAAATCCAGTCTCTTGAACTTGACACTTGTCTGTGGTGTAAACTTGGGGAGCTGACTTCATTTCTCAGACACTGAACTTTTTCAGCAATTTGATATGGGACGCACCACAATGAAACCTGAGTGGCATAGCACCTGCCTCCCTGCAGCATAGTCAGTGGCTTCTTATAGGTACCATTTCTCACTAAAATGCATCCAAAGACAAAGGTGCTTGCGGGCATCGGGGGAGTGAGAAGTGCCTGCCTGGGAAGGTCTCTGCAGGGAGTGGGTGGAGTTGCTGGAGCCAAGGCAGGCTGCAGATACAGCTGCGTTACTGCATGTGGACACCTTGCCACTGGACCTTCTCCAACAGCTCCGGCATGGACATACCTCATACTTGCTTTTCACAGGAGGAAACTGACTTAGACCAGCAGAAAGGGTTATGTCATTGTAAGTCCCAGTGATAACAGAGAATCTGAAATTCAAATATAGGATGCCTGATCCAGGGAAAAGGGAGTCTGATCACTTCCCCCATCTCACCTGCCCACGCAGATGCCCACTGGCCTTCCTGAGAGAACTGTTCCTGAAAGGCGT